TAAAATCACTCTCGACTGCTGATTGGTCAGAGAAAATCGTCGCAATATATATATAAATATATATATAGCGAAGCTTGCAGCATTTTTATAAACAGCATTTTTGTTAACAGAGGATCAACAAAAATGGCAAAGAAAAGCACACCGTGGTCCGCCGAGGAAGTTACGACGTTCCTACACTTTATTGCAGATGACAAGATCCAGCGGGAGCTCGACGGGACAACTCGCAATATGAAAGTATTTCAGGAGGTCTCTACACTGATGTGCGGAAGCGGTTACTCGAGGACTGTCTTGCAGTGTAGGGAACAACTGAAAAAGATGAAGAGTGAGTATCTCGTAGTGAAGGACAACAACAACAACACGAGTGGTGCCCGTAGGAAAAACTGGAAGTGGTTTGACCTAATGGACACCATTAACGGCCATAGACCGGCTAGCGTTGGGAGGGAGGGAGGTCTGGACTCAGCAAGGGCTTTACTGGAGGCTCTGCATGGTAAGTTGTTGCTAACACTCTGTTATTTGCTTGAAAGCGTTGTGTCCCTATCTGTTCTAAAGCTCACTTCTAACAAAGAAGTCTATTTTAACCTTACATTTATGTTCGACAACCCATGCTTGAATGGAGCACCGAAGGCTAGCTAGGCAGATAGCATTAGCTAGAGCTATTGTTTGCTAACACCATATGTGCCATTGTTACGTTCAGTTTTTCTTTTATATAGTTGTTGTTGCTATTTTAGTATTGTGCTGCAGTAGTTTGTGGAATTAACAAGTCATGTTTCTGGTTCTAGATGATAACATTGGGACGAACGAGGAGGAACAGCCCTCAGCTTCAACGTCCTCTGCATCAACATGACAACAGCTCGAACAACAAACCCCAACAAGAGCACAGACACCAACGCCTAGTAAGTAGCTAGTGCAATTGTGTGTGACTTCCTATCATATACATATATTTATATTCATTATCAACAGGCTGGAAATTCACAATCATTGTAAACATCTAGGGCCAGAACTTTCTTTAGTTCATCCTTACTGTTGTTCTGTTTATACATTTCATTCTTATATCCTTGTGTGACCTGTACCTGTCCTGTGTTTTTCATTCTTATTACTAATTATTATTGCTATAATTATCTTGTCACCCAGGCAAGAGGAAACGAGGAGGAGAGGATCTGGCCCAGCAGGAACGGCACCTGGTCCAGCAGAAGGAAGCCCAGCAGGATCAGCACTTGAACCGGACCTTGGGGGAGGCGAGGGAGTTGGAAGCAGCCTTGAGAAGGGAGGAGATCGCTCAAGCAGAGACCTTTTTAATTTAGCCTTCCTCCGCACTCTTGGCCAGGTGCTAGGGGGAATGGGCAGCTGACGTGCCCTGTCTCCTCCGCCTCTGTGATACAACAAATAACCTCTGACTGAGATTATATTGTTTATTTACATTTGTACTTTTTTGTTTATTTTTTATCTTTAAAATGTTTATTTTTACAATCAATACCATGCCTTTTTATGTTGCTGCAACAAAACACTACCCAAATGGGGATCAATAAAGTACTTCTTTGACTTATCGCTTGTTGATAAATAATTGCTCCCAACAGCGATCATACAGAAAGATGGCATCATCTAGGCGTCCCTCTGCAGTCAGAAATATAAACAACATCATCGTCCACAAAGCACTGTACAGGGGTTTATGGATTTAAGGGAATACTTATCACAGTGAAACCTTTATCATCTGTTGCAATTAAAGCAAATAAGAGAATAAATACTTGGTTAAACAATACATTTTAACTCTTTAGCAGGAGAACTCTGCATACTGTTTGAAATTGAGTTTGCTAGCTTGAGGTCCTCCTCTAAAACATAACATATTTTGCAATGGTATTAAGAATACATGATAAATAAATAATACATGTAGTAAACATTTCTCAATTCAGTGTTTCCCCTAGGATGGAGTCATAGCAGCGGTGCTAAGGCACGTGGGCCCAGCATAATGTGAGCGCGGAGCGCGTGGAATTTTTTAGTGTGTGCGCGTGCGAAGTGCGCCTCGCTAATTTGTTTCTATGTACAAGAAAGGCTCTTGAGGCCTAGTACCAGGCAGAGTCCTGCATCGGGTCGGGTACCCGCGGGTAAAAAGGTGATTCACTTTTTTCCGGGTTCGGTTCTGGGTAAAACAAAGATGATGCGGGTCGGGTCGCGGGTGTTGCATAATAAATATATTTAAATAATAATAATTTAGTTTAATGTTTAAATCCTCAGACCTCTCCCCCGCGGGACCGTGCATAATCATAACCTCTGCAGCGCATCGATCTGCTTCTGAGCGCGCCACATTCTGAATGGCTGAGGTGAAGCTCTCTAGCGGAGAATACAGCATTTTCCAACACTTCCTCAAGAGCGAAATCCAACGTCTGTGAGGCTTTTGGTGTCATCCTAGATGGAGAGAATAACCAACATCCCACGCTTTTTGAGAGAAATATGCAACTGCGTGTGTTAATAATTGCACGTTTTCACTGCTCATATATATATATGCGGGTTCGGGTCGGTCGGGTTGCGGATCCTGTGCCGACGGGTCGGGTCGGGTTGCGGAACTAATTGGTAATATGTGCGGGTAGCGGGGCGGGTTCGGTATTGCACGTCGCGGGTGCGGGGCGGGAGC